AGTGAAGGGCCTCCAAATCTGGAGGTGCCAGGCTTTCCCCGAGCTCATAGAGGGTGTGATTGAGGCTGGACACCAGACTGCACCATGGTTTCTTGCTTGGGTGTAACTCAGCTCACTGGGGCTGGCCAGTTTAAAGCCTTGCAGGCCTGTAGAAGTTGCTGGAACTAAGTGGACAGCCATTTCCTCCTGCCAGACAGTGCTATTTGAGCTTCAGTCCGTTCTTCCTCTACAGAGAGCATGAGATTGCTGACTCTGAAAACGGGACGTCACCCCTTCTTCTACCACTCCAGACCAGCCTAAGAGTCTACCTACAGCTTGCCCACTAAGTAGTGTTCCGCTTTTGCCAGATTCTGACCCCTCCCCCCACTGTAGCAGAACAGTATCTGTCCTTTAGGGACGCTGGGGGTGGGGAGCAGAAGGTAACTACTAGTTGAGGCGTTTTCTGGAAGCTAATTAGTTAGACCTGTCCACACATGCAGCTCCCAGACAACCGAGAACAGATAAGCAATGTTCTTTAGTACAGACCTGTCCTTGTGGCATTGACGACTCAACACTGGTGCAAGCCCTCTGAGACCACCAGTTGCCAACCTGCTCTCAGAGCAGCAGATGCAATTGGCAGAGAGGATGGGCTATTCCTGAGGCCTATGAACTAGCAAGTGGCAGAACCAAGGCTAAAAAGCCACAGGATTCACATGCCAGCGCCCTGTGTGCTGGGCTGGACTGCAGTCCTAGAATTCTTTAGTCTCAGCTGGAGATTTTCTTCTGAAAGGTGCCACCGGTTCAAAGCTAGTCAGCAGCCTTGACTCTCAATACTGCACATACTTCACCTGTGGGATAGCTATTGTCCTTCACTCCTCATGGAAGTGTGAGAAAGTGGGCTAAATTGCTTGCCCTGGAAAGCAGGTGGCCCAGTGATTTAAACTGTGGGCCACAGTCAAAGGACATGGTGCAACTTGGGCCTGAGCTCTTGCTTCTTTTGCAGTGAGACAGTGTAACAACATCTTCTGGGGTTGAGGACTGATGTCATGCACCTCAGCCAGTGCACAGTAAACACCCACGCTTGCCTTTCTCATTGGCCTGAAAGTGTGCCTTGGTCACTTATCTTTCATTCTCAGCATGTAGATCCACTAGTTCCTGGGGACTATCTACCACACAGGTTTTAACTGGGTTCTATTTGAGAGACACGTTTTCTTATTCCTATTTTCCAGATAAAATACTTTTATTATTTTATCTGGGTTTATCTTAATACAAGTCTTGAAAAGAGAGTGGGCTTCTTAGGATAGAAACTAGGACAGTGTGTGTGTGTGTGTGTGTGTGTGTGTGTGTGTGTGTGTGTGTGTAAACTACTGCAATAATGTGGACGGAAGGCCAGAGCAAGGGAGGGAGTAATAGTTCTGAATAGGGTGATGATTCAGACTTCCAGAGAACAAAAGAACAGCAGGTGAGGGTGAGGGCTACTGCTGTAAGCAGGTTGAGAACAAACTAGAAAAGCTTGTATTTGTGTCACATTCTTTAAAGATGGCATCATGTTGTCCAGGCTGGCCTCAGACTCACTATATAGCTGAGGACGACTTTCTAGCTTTTTAAGATTTGCTTTTATTTCATGTGTATGAGGGTTTGACTGCATATATATCCATGCTCCATGTACATGCCTGGGACCTACAGAGGCCAGAAAAGGGTGTCAGGTTCCCTGGAATTGGAATTACAGATTGTTGTGAGCAGCCACATGGGTGCCAGGAACTGAGCTCCATCCTCTGCAAGAGCAGTTCTGCCAAGCCATCTCTCCAATCCTGATTTTAATCCTCCTGGCTCCATCTCCTAAGTGCTGATTACAGCCATGTACTACCATCCCTAGTTTGTGTGGGGCTGGGACTCAAACCCAGTGCTTCATGCATGCTATGTTCCCAGCCCCCCTTCCACTCTTTGCCTATTTTATAGAAAATATGTAACTGTCTCTCTATGAATACATTTTAACTTTCCCTTGTCCAGTTTGTGACCAGCTGCTGGTTGACAGCACCTCTGTCAGAGTGCTTATGCCTCTACCTCTTTCATCCTCAGAGCACCGGTGATGGGGACCCCAGCCTCTGTGGTGAGCGAGCCACCCCTGTGGCAAGTTTCAACTGAGGCCCGGGGCCGCAAGCAGGCCTCTGCTAACATCTTCCAGGATGCTGAGCTGGTGCAGATCCAGGGCCTGTTCCAGCGCAGTGGGGACCAACTGGCTGAAGAGCGGGCCCAGATCATCTGGGAATGTGCAGGGGATCACCGTGTAGCCGAGGCCCTGAGGAGGCTGCGCAGGAAAAGGCCCCCGAGGCAGAACCACTGCAGCAGGCTTAGGTAGGTGCTTGGGATGGGAGGGCTGAGGGGAGAGGTACAGGGATGCCTGCTGCACTGCGCTGGCTGTGTGACCTGGAGCCAGTGACTCCCCCTCACTGTTCATGTTTATATGCTGTGGTCCTGGTACCTCAAAGATATTATTGTTGGAGTCACATGACCCTGTCATCCCCATAGGGAAGAAAGCCCGGCAAAGCAATACAACCATATTTCACAGTGACTCTTGGCCAGGAAAAAGGGAATATTTTGTTTGGAAAGAAAGAAAAATTACCAGTAGTAGAATTGAAAGGCAAGCCTGGCTAAAGCCTTAGGGAGGACTACAGAGATAATGGCGTTATTCCTGTGGAAATCCTACAAGCAGTAGAGATTTCCTCTGGCCACCTACCTTTGTCCACGTCACTGCGGCCCAGCAGTAGTGAGCCTCAGCGGACCTGGATACACTATCTGGCTTAAACCCTTCAACACAAGTTGCCCACTAGAACCCTCCATAGTCTGAACACATCCTCAGGTGTGAGATGGCAAGTGAGTGTTCACTGCTGGCACTAAGTGACATCATGTATGCCTGACTTATGGTGCCATGTATGCAAGGCAAAGAAAGTAGGGAGAAACTGTGGTGGTGCAGCATTCAGGAAGCAGGCAGGCAGATTCTGTGAGTTTGAGGCCAGCCTGGTCTACAGAACGAGTTCCAGGACAGCCTGGGCTACACAAAGAAATTCTGACCCAAGGCGGTGGGGGGGAAGGAAGGTAGGGAGAGACTTGAATGTCCCATTCCCCCATCTAGCCCCATCCTCTTACCGTACAGTTGGAAAGGTTCACCTTGTCATACAGTTCTGGGCAGAGTCTCATTTTATCCTGAACAGCTTCCTTCTCCACCATGCTCTCCGTTCTGACATTGGCTTATCACACACTTGTTCCCAACAGAGTGCCAACAGAGCCTAGTTCTACAACAGCTGACCCACAGGACAGCACCACTGACACGGCCTCCAGTGAGCAATTTGGGAACTCCCGGAGGACAAGTGCCAGAGTCCACCGAAACTGGAATAAGCCAGACCCCACAGGTTACCTCCACCAGATCAGACACTGACCCAGTGAAGGGGTGGGGAGCTCTTTGGAATACTGCAGGGACGTTTGTCAAAGGGCTTATGGAGTTAAAAAAGGAGACCTGAGCAGAGCCCTGTCTAGTGATGGAAGTGGCAATAAGAATGTCCTCCTCAGTTCAGCTCAGAACCAGCATTTGCTGGACTCTGCACTGTGGGAGACCTGTTCTTACCAAGCAAGGTGATACCAAGGTTGCTCATGCCTCAGCCCTTTTGACTTAACAGTGGAAGTGGGCTGCATGGCATTCCACTGGGTAAAAGAAATATGCACTCAGATGAAGCATCTCACCATTTCTGCCACTAACTGCCACAGTTACTGTCACCTCCCAGCAGCCAGCTGTCTCACACCCCTGTGCCACAGGCCAGTGCAGAGGGGAAACTTGTTTAAGTGGAAAATAAAAAACATTTGAATCAGGATTGTGTGAGTCTGTTACAGAAGGGGAGAATCTCAAAACAGAGGCTTCACCCACATAGGGAAGGACAGGATATTATTCCCCAGGAGATAAATCTGGGCTGTAAGCTGTGCTTTCTCAACTCCAGGCCCTGGAAATCCTGGTACTACAGCATCCCTTCGAAAGGAGAGTAGATTGCAAGGGAAATGCGGGCTCTGCAGCTAGTCCTGATCCACAGGCTGTTCCATCAACACAGCAGGCACTTGGGTACTGGGTCCTTAGTAGAGGCTGCAGCTGTGGTGAGCACCCTCTCTCAGAAGGCACCATCAAAGGCCAACCATATTCAACCTGTGTGACACAGGACCAAGCAATCACTCTTACATGCCACACTATGGCCTGGTAACCTAGGGGTGAAGGGATCTTTGTACCACTCCAGACTGTGTGTTCATAAGCACTCCCCTCTCCCAGCCACCCCCAAGGGACAGTGGTGTTCCTATATGGCAAGATTGCTCTCTGCTGGCCAAGCAGAAAAGCCAACCTCTCCTAAATTTGCCTCTACAGCAGTGTTCTCACCCTTCCCCCCACCCCCACCCCATAGCCTTGGCTTTCCTGGACTTGCTTTGTAGACAACACTGGCCTCAAACTCACAAAGATCCACCTGCCTCTGGAGTTACCACAACGTAAGTAACTATTAAAGGGCCATTGAGAAACAAAACCTTTCTAATATTTCCACCCTTTAATATAGTTCATGTTGTAGTGACCCCAACCATATTTTGTTGCTACTTCATAATTATAATTTTGCCGCTGTTATAAATTATAATGTAAATATCTGTGTTTTCTGATGGTCTTAGGAGACTCCTGTAAAAGGGTCATTTGACAACCCCCCAAAAAAGTCTCGACCCACAGGTTGAGAACCTCTGCCCTACACTTAATCCCAGAATTTGCCTTTAAGGAAGTGGCCAGGGCAAAAACTATAGATTCCTACCAGAGAAAAATCTTATCAGAGAGAAATCTGTAATAAAGTCTTCATACTACTGATGCAGATTCAGGTCAGGCTTTGAAATATCTTAGGGAAACAGTTGTCAGGAGCCAAGTCTCTGTAATTTCATGAAAATGTCTCTCTGCCCTTAAAACTGCATTTACCTTGTCTTCCTTCCCCCAAAGAAAACTGGACAAAGAGGTCAGAACTGGATTTGTTATTCATACATTTGCATTGATTTAAATACAATACATACAATTTCTACAGTGCATTAGAAGAATTGGGGCAGCAGCGCTCGCCAACCAGCTTCCATTCCTAGATATAGGGGATGGGCCTAAGGTTGGCAGAGGGACGGCTGTTCTGGAAGTACCTGACACTCTGGGCTCCCGGCACTCCCAAAGTCCACATTCAAGGCAACCTGAGTACAGGCTTCAAGGGAGAGAGGCAGGGAAGGACGCCTGCACCCTTGCCCACCAGGCCTGGCACTGGCTGCCTCTTACATTGGACCCAATTTCCTTCTGATGGCAGAGCTGATCTGGATGGAGCAGGACAGTACACAGAGCCTGGTGAAGCCCTTGGTTCTCTCCAGGCACCGCTGGCCCTCTCCAGCACCCCAGTGAGGGCATCTCACCAACAGGCTGGTAAGAAGATGTCTGTGAAGAATGTCACATACCTGAACCCCTGCTGGCTCCCGTGATGAGGAGGCAGGAATTCTCCCAAACATGGTTTCTGAGGCCAGAGTCCAAGGGCTGGATGGGATTGTCAGGATGGGGCAAAAGACAGGGCCTCTGTCCATAGGGCATGCATATCCAGTGCTCAGAAATTTGTGTAGGCTGAGTGGAAGCCCATAGCAAGCTGGCTCCTGGGCTGGAATGGACGGGGAGCAGCCGGCTCCAGCTGATGGGAGGGCTGTGTGCCTCTGCCCTGCCTCCTGGATGGTGGGAACCAGGCAGGCTGGTGAGACACATAGCTGTCTGTGGTCCTCATTCCCTTTCTTTGGTTTTTTTTAAGCCTTCAAGACAATTTCTTTCCAAGGCTGACTGACCAATTGTAGATTGTGAGAACCCTCAAGGGTCCACAGCACAGGGTGTGAACACTGCTGCCTACTCAGCCACAGATGTCCCCCTTTTTACTCCCTCCTGAAGCTAATTCTTTGCTTTGGTGTAGAAAGGGTTCAAACACCTGGCAAAGGAGAAGACACATGGAAGCATCTGGAAGCAGGAAGATGCACACTGAGCTGGGCAGGCACTGGGGGACTGTTTGAAGGCCTCTCTCCAAGAAGCTGAGGAGAAACCAGCCCAGGACAAGAAGGCAGGGAGCCAAGGGGCACTGCCAGTTAGGAGGCAGAACACAGGTCCTATTGCTTTCCAGGCAGCAGTGGTAACACAAGAAGATGCTGTCCTCGCCCTTTGTAAACTGACTGACCCACAACCCCTGCTGAAAGCCACCCCAGAACCCAAACTGAACTCATTTAAAAATTGGGAAAAATGGTGGAAACAACAGAAACCATGTAGGAAAGGATGGAGACTAAGGGCCCAGGAATGAGGCTGTGCCAGGCTCCCCTGGAGCACTCCTAGCACCCAGAATACACTTAGGCTAAGTCAGTTACCTCCACATGCTACACATTCTAGCAGAACAGAACTGCCAAAGCTAGCCTCTCCTGCTTCAGCTGAGTGCTGGGCAAGCTGCAGCAGGGCAGAGAACAGAAAGACTGTATGCAGAGATTCTGAGAGAGCAAAAGCCTGCTCATTGCCACATGTCAATACCAGTGTGGCAAGAGAAGGACCAGTTTGGCAAAACCAGAAAGGAATGGCTTCTGTCTGTGGGCCAGTGATGGGCCTCTGACACAGCTCAGTTCATGGGAGTATCAGAGCGTCTAAGCAAATTTAGATTCTACATTAAGGGGTTCTGATGTGAGAGGGTCTAATCTGGGTTTTCCTACAGCATTTAAATTTTATTCTGCTGGGGTTTTTTGTTTCTTTCTGATGCAGAATATAATAGGAAACTGGATGGAGAGGGCTGTCAGGGAAATGGGACTTTCCCAACCTGCCACCAAATACTGGGAGGAAGTTGCTCCTCCTCAAGCCTGGGCTCCTTGCCTGGACACCAGCCTTCCTAACACTCTGGAGGTCCAGGAGCACTCTTGTACCTGATTGTGCTTCTCCCTGTGGGTAGGAAAGCCCTGAGGGAGGCGGCAAGCAGAGAGGAAGGGCTCTGAAAGGCTCTGCTGTGTACCAGCTTCTCTGGCTTCCTTGAACCTGGGTTTCCAGGCTTCCTCCCAGCCTGTCACCTGCAGGATTTCTTCTGCTTGCTTCTAGGGCTACCACCATGAAAAGAAGGGCTTCCGACTCTGAAAGCTCTGTGTGTAGGATTCACTTGCAGACCGCTGATGAGAACGGGCCGTCTCGACAATCACGGGTGGCATCTGGACAAGGTGCAGGGGACTCTTATTGTCTTTTAGGGCCTGGGTCAAATTTAGGATCTGTATTGAAAAAAAGAAACCAAAATGAGTGAGAAAGGCCTAGTACTCTAAGCCTGCCTCTGCAGAAGAGTACTCTCCTTCAAGTAAAAAACAAATAACAACAGAAATACCATAGAAGTAGAATAATTACAAAAGTAGGAATTGAGGGCTGGAAAGCTCAGTGGCTAAAAGTATGTACTGCTCTTCCAGAGGACGTGAGTTCAGTTCCTAGCACCCTTGTCAGGCAGTGTTTCAACATACCTGGCCCCATCTGAAGAGTAGGTAAATTGTCTGAATGTGTGTGACTAAGCAAACTGTGATTCTCTGAGTCAGGAGGCCAAAACACAGTCCTACCCTATGATTATTTATCCACAGGGTCATCAACTGATCCAAACAGTTTCTAAACAAGTGGCATAGGTCAGATTTCTTCTCTGCTGGGTTCCTTGCAAGTTTCCCCACCATTGTCCTTTGCCAGAATCACTGTAGGTCCGCCCCTAGGTATGCAATCAAACTATGTTTGAACCAACACTTCCTTGTTTATATCACATCCTGCTGCAAAAGCTGTTCCAAGGACATCAAGAACACAAAGTAGAGAGAAAGATAAAATAAAAAATCACCTGCCATTCTCTCCTACCTAGATGATGACCCTAACTGTGTAATGGGAAGGCTGCTCCAGTGCTGTCAAGGGACTGAGAGGAGAACTGACTGGAGAAGACAGTACGATATGAATGAGGTACCACCTGTACTGTCTTAGTAAGCAAGCCAGTTCCATGCTGAGGCCTGTAATATCAGGTCTACAATGTTGCTTTCCAAAAGTTATGGCAGCCTCATTGGGCCCTTACTTTACTTGGGAAAGGTCAGATAGATTAATAAGATGGCAGCTCTTAAAACCTCTTGACTATTCCATTTCCAAGAAAAAAGTGCTCAGCAAGCCCAAAAGCACTCTTTGGGCACCTTTAGCTAAGTGATAGGAAGAAGTAAATACATACTTGTGGTAGAAAGACTAATACATTCCTTGAAGATTCAAATTAGTAAGATAATTATAGCTACATGCCTATAATCCTAGAACTTTGGAAATGGAGGCAGAATGGTCAAGAGTTCTGGACTACATAGTAACTTTAGGTCCAGCCTGGGCTATAAAACAACCCTTCTCAAAGAAGATAAAGATTCAGGAAGTGGGTGTGGTGGTGCACACCTTTAGTCCCAGCATTCAGAACACACAGGCAGGTGGATCTCTGTGAGTTTGAGGCTAGCCTGGTTTACAGAGTGAGTGTCAGGATAGCCAAGGCTGTTACACAGAGAAAGCCTGTCTTGGGGGAGAAAAAAAGGATTCAAGAAACTTACTTTTCTATTTACAAAGTTGTTATTAGCTATATGTGTTGAATACTTTCTGACATCAGGCACTATCCAACTATTTTGAACAATATATCTAATTATAACTCCATGAAGCAAGCACGTGAGAAAAATGAAGGAAAGAGAGATTTAGTAGATGTCATGGGTAGTAAATGGAAACCCCAAGCTTCATATCCAGGTACTCTGATTGATTTGTATGCTTTACTGCTGTGCTCTCTTTAAGTGATACTTAAGACACCAATAGTAGAGTTTTGTTTTTGAGATAGGGTATAATTACATAACTCTGGCTGCCCTGGAGCTCACTATATGGAACAGGCTGGCCTCAAATTCAGAGATCCACCTGCTTCCGCCTCCTTAGTGCTGGAATTAAAGACATGCACTGCCATGCTTACAGGGCCTACACAGTTTTGACAATACAAGTTTCTGTAGTTCCCTCTGAAGGTGAAATAGAAAGGAAGACTACAACTTGTAACCCAAACAACAAAATTATAAATATGAATATCTGCATGCTTACCAAGTGACAGGCAATACTGTCACTTAACACTTACCATGAATCCTCTTGTGCACTTGTTCACAACAAAGAAAAACAGTGTCACTACCCTGTTTTATAAACAAGAAATTCGAACTCCTGCCCAGCAGCATAGAACCTGTAACTTCTTTGGTGATCCAGCCCAGAGCCCAGTTCTCAGCCACTGAGGCATGCAGCCTCAAGGCCAGTGTGCTAATTTACTTACCATTAATGCACACAGCAGCTGGTACAGGGCTAAACAATCAATGAGTCAGCTATACTGGTATCAACACTATGGAAGAGGTAGGAGACTGCAGAAGGCTACCTTTCCCCTCCTGTATTTTAGGGCAGAGTAACAAATATATATGGCACACAGTTAAAAGGGTGACAAACACAACCCTGCTACGTCTGCTCAACACGTGGATGTCACTGTTCCACAGGGAAAGGACAACAGAGGATGTCCCAGGCTTACCTGGCCTCTCATGACAGCAATCTGCTTATGGAACTGGCCCCTGTCAAAACCAGGATCTTTCTGCAAGAAAAGGGAAATGATGGAACCTGTGCAAATGCCTCTCAGGAACCCATTTCCCCCCACCCTCAACTTAAGTTTCTAAGAGTAGCTTATTAAGTATGTGGCAAGGAAGCAGTGGGCTAGAAAGTAACTAGACTGTTTCCTGCCCCACTTAGAACACTGAACTTCTGATCCTCCTGCCTCCTCCAGCTGAGTGCTACAGCACACAGGATTCATGTGGTGGTGGAGATGGAACACAGGGCTCTCTGTATGCTAAATAAGCACTCTGCAAACGGAGTTATATCACCCTAGCATTAGTGTTAAAGTTATTTTTACAAAACTGTGTATCTCAGTTTCTCTCTTAACCTGGCTATCACACAAGTAATTGAGACTCTTTTATATTTGTTTAATAATAAGCTTCACAACACTATAACTGAGCAGTTATTAACTCTATTCTTAACCCTCTAAACTAATCTGGTTTCCTCCCAGTATACATTCCAGAGATACTTGCACTTTGTAGCTTTCCTGCTCCAGCTCCTCTCCTGGTATCTTTTGCACCCCTCCTGAGGCTGAATCCCCTACTTCTTCCTCTAACTCCTGCTTCCCTGGCTGGCAGGAAATCCAGCCCTATTCTTTCCCCTGCTCAGTGATTGGCTATAAGCTGCTTTATTGGCATATCAGGGGACCATTGGGGAGCAGTATTTACATAACATTGAGACTGGAGATTCTCAGAACAAGGATTGCAACCAGACATGGTGGGAGGGATACAGAAATCAATATTTGAACTACACAAACAACCTTCTGCCTACCACACTAGGACTGGCATTTCTCTCAATCCTTTCAATCCCTCCAAACCAGCTCCAGCTTGCTCTTCTGGCTAACTCAAGTCAGACAGGTGTAAGACAAATCCTTGGCTTATATCAGGACTAATTAGAAAACCATGAAGAATGCCTTTTTCAACAGGGCTGACCTTGAAGAGTTCATATAGGTCCTCCTCCAAATCCTTGACGAAGTTAGGGTCTGAAATCTTTGGAAGAATCAAATCTTTGATCTCCTGAGAGAATGGGACTTTCGCCTGAGGCAACCAGGCCCAGTAAAAAGGATCTGAAAAGAGAAAAGGCTCACAGCAAAGATGATGTTGGAAAAGTCCCCATCCTGGGTCTTCTATCAGGGTTCTTTCCAAAAGAAAACAACTTTTCCCCAGTACAACAGAAAATCAACATCATCAACAAAATCCACTTCCAGGAGTTGCTGACCTAAGACTGCATGACTAGCAAACACAGGACTCAGGAGTCACACACAGAGCTGCCTAGCTTCAAAGCTCGTACCCAGGTGACATGTGACTTTCCACAGACAGGCCAACGCAGAAGCAACTACTTGCTAGACTTTCAGATGGTCCTGAAAATGAAGGCTGGCGATACAAAGGAGGCTAGTGACTTTGGACTGGTACTTCTTTCCTTCCCACAAATTCTCAGTTATAATGGGGTATGGAGTACAACAAGGAAGACAAAACACTGATAGCAATTTATCCGCAAAAACCCAAATGAAATAAAACATGGAAAGATGAGTTTGAGAAGAATGCAAAGTAAAAACGAGGAAAGTCATCTTTCTTACTCACTTACTTACTTTGCAGAATTAGGGATAGAATCCTTGGGCCTTACACATGCTACACACCCAGCCCATATGCTTCTACTCTCCCATTACCCAATTACCTCTAGTGGAAATAATAAGTGGTAAAAACTATAATAGTTGATACTGTGAAACAGTTGCCATATGCTGCTAGCCATTGCGTAAAAGGCCTAAAGCCACAGTATGAACTCTAATTCAGTAGCCCAGTGCTCTTAGACTCACATGCCCTCCAGGAGTCAGGATGCTTCAATGGGAAAGCCAGCCCATTGTCGATGGCAGCCACCTTGATAACAGGCTCCTTCACCACCACCCAGTCTGTGTCCTGCAGAACAAAGAGAGACTTGCCAGTCAGGCTACACAGAGGAACTACTTGCCAGGCAGGCCAGCCAGGGCTACACAGAGAGACTCAGACTCAAAAAGCCAACCAACCAACCAACCAAACAAGAAAGCAGCAAGACACCTTATCTCAGACTCTTCATCTAACCTCTACTGGCTTTCATATTGTTTTCTAGACCTGGTTTGTTAGTGGCATCTGCTTCATTTATAATCTGTTCAAGGTTCTCTGACATCCCTCGCCACAAGCCCTACACTCAAAGACAGGGGTCTTACTATGTTGCTCAGGCTAGTCTCCACCTCCTGAATGCTGGTGTTACAAGTGTACACCACATACACTCGCGGGACATGTACATTTATAAGGACTTGCCTGAGTCCTTAGTAAGAAGGATAATGACAAAAACAAAGACACAGTTATAAGTTATTCTAAGGTAAAACAGTAACTTGAGATTAGAAGGGGAAAAAATCTGTATCAGCCAGCCAAGGTTTTTTAGCTCAAACATGACTTTACTGGTAATGATGATAATGTCCCCATTTTCCAGAAAGAAAACAGGATCAAGATGACAGGTGGCAGCTGGGTGGTGGTGGAGCACACCTTTAATCCCAGCACTTGGGAGGGAGAAGCAGGCAGATCGCTGTGAGTTCAAGGCCAGCCTGGTATACAGAGATAGTTCCAGGACAGCCAAGGCTACACAGAGAACCCCTGTCTCAAACAAAACAAAACAGAAACAAAAATGATGACAGGTGGCTTGTTTTTATACAAGGTCATCATCATTCCTCAGTGATACATAAAAATGGAAAAGATAAGCCTGGCATTCAGGTGGCAAAAGCAGGTAGACCTTTGTGCGTTTAAGCCCAGCCTGGTCTGCAGAACTACTTCCAGGACAGCCAGGTCTACATGGAGAAGCCCTGCCTCAAAAAACAAAACAAACAAATGAGAAAATGACAGACAGGAACTGAGTAGAAAGAATGAGCAGCCTTGACAGGCTACACCAGGGACACTATGCCTATGTGGTCCCTGATTTCTTCTGGCTCACTGGCGCCATCACAGAAACATAAATTACAGCAGAGATGGCTCAAGGTTAAGAGCACTGGCTGCTCTTCCAGAGGACACAGGTTTGATTCCTAGCACCTGTGTGGTGGCACAGAGCCATCTGTAGATCACATACACTCTTCTGGCCTCTGCAGGCACCAGGCACACATATGATTCACAGACAAAACATTCATACACATGAAATCGATCTTTAAAAAAAAAAAAAAAAAAAAGCACTGACTTTTTTTTCTAACTTGTAGAGTCCTCTATTTAAAAAAAAAAAAAAAAATGCCCGTGGCTTAAAATAGTGGAAACCACTGGAATAAACAATATTAGGTAGATTCATTTACTGTAGTATTTCTCAGACCTTTATTATGCTATGGTGCAGCATGAAGCTCGAAAGAAAGAAAGTGAGTCTGTAGTATGTTCCAGCCTTACTCCTTTTCTTGATGCTATTCCAATTAACATTACTCAACAGGATTTTCCTGAAAACACACATTGAAAAAACTATACGCATTATTAATTTAACTTTAAACTCTGTTTCTCCGACTCTTCTGAGCTTTTGTACCTAAATCTCTATTTTGTGTTTCTAAGGCTTAGTCCTCCCACCCTCCTCTTTGAGATGTAGATCAGCCTCTTACCCGACAACTGGAACTATCCATTGGACAGTCATACTTGATCAGCCAATTGTCATTGCCTCGGTCTGCAAACAGAAACATAAAGTTAGCAGAAATAAACTATGTCTGATTTTAGAAATGATGGATTAAGCATTTTGGATACTTGGACCACCCCTCCAACTGAGATCTACTATAAGGCAAAATAAAGTATTTTTAAATCTCTGGAAGGCATTGGTAATTTTAACAAGATCATAAAAATTTGTATCAAAATCCCAGTACTCAGCAGGCTGAGGCAGGAGGATCATAAATTCAAGACCAGCCTAGTGTACTTATCACAAGACTGTCTTGGAAGGAAGAGAAAGAGGGAAGAAAGAAAAGAATCTAAGGTCTGGGTCCAGGCCAGAAAGAGCACACACAGAAAGGACCCCCTATTTATAGCTTCTCTCCCCTACTGCAGCACCAACTGATTTGGGAAGAAGCGGCTGGAAGGCTGGGAAATGGGGCAGTGGCTCTTGAGAGAAAACTTGCAACCCAACTTGGAAGCAAACCAAGCTCTTCCTCAATACCTGAAGCTAACGTGACCCTGGGCTGCTAGTGACTTAGGTGCTGGTCCTTCATGAACTTTACATCTCAGACAAGATCTGCACCAGCACCAGAAACTTTCAAACATCTCTACAGTTTCTGATAAAAAGTATCTGAAACCAAAGTAACCAAGCATACAGAGACATAAATGACACAATAAACTACCCAAGAACACAGACAAAAATACGATGAGAACAGAAATGAAACCATGAGAACCTGTAGTGCCTCCAAACAAGACATCTTATATAGACTTTTAAATGGCCAAGTAAAATATTTAATATCTTCAGGAAGATAAAAGGTACAGCCAGGAGTGGTAACATAGGCCTGTAACACCAGTACTCAGGAGGTGAAGACAGGAAGACTCGGAATTCTAGGTCACCCTGGGCTAATTAATACTGTCTCAAAACATCAGGAAAAAAATAAATAAAACTAAAGGCAAGATTAAAATGTCAGCAGAAAACAAGAAAAAATAAGAAAAGAACCAGGTCCCAATTCTAGAACTGAAAAAAAACCACAATCATGGAAACTGGAACTCACACCATACGGGTTGGTGGAGCACCCCTTTAGTCCCATTACTTGGGACCCAGAGGGAGGTGGATCTCTGTGAGTTCAAGGCCAGAGTAGTCTACATAGCAAGTTAGTTACAGGACACTTAGGACTACATGGTGAGACCTTGTCTCAAAACAATAATAATAAAAATAACAACAAAAAAAAGGAGGAAGGAGAAGAGGGTCACTCAGGAGGCTGAGGCAGAAAGATCATGAGTTCATAACAAACCAGCCTGGGTTATACTATGAAAAGGCTACCCCCACAACCACCCCAAAACAAACAACAAAAAGATTGTGGTCAAATGAAAATAGCTGAGTCTGACAAGCCAGATTTTTAAAATATAAATGCACATTATGAATAAATTATCCTTGCAGGTTAACAAAGTACTCTTGTAGTTGGGTGTGGTTTGACAGGCCTATAATCCTGACATTAGTGAGGCTTCACGCAGGAAGATCAAACATTCATGGCCAGTACAGTTTACAGGCTCTCTCACAAAAGAAGGGAATGAAAGGAGAAAGGAAGGATTGGGGGAGAAAGTAGAAAAGGAGGCAAAGAGGCGGGGGGGGGGGGGGGGGGGGGGGGGGGGAAAAAAGAAGAGAGGGGGGGGGGGGGGGGGGAGGAAGGAGGATGAGGAAACAATAATATTAGATAATTGTGTTACTTGAGAAAAGGTTAATGGTTTTACAAAGTTTCAAATCTACTGACTTTTTTTTCTTTCTTTAGGAATTTTGAATCTACTTTCTGTGCTGTATAGGATTAACAAATAAGTAAATTTATCATAATTTTTGTATTTATTATATTGTAAATACTTGTAATGGGAGCTAGGTTTGTCCATCTCCAGAAAGGAATTGTAATCAAAAGAGAGTAAAATGAACCTGGGTCTGAATGAAAATGGAGGTATTCATATGAACTTATAAATTTCCATAGCTGTAAATACACCCTCTTCCAAAACAGGAACCTCAGAGAAATGGCAATTCCAGCTTGGGACCAGAAGATAAACCTAGAACATCTTCTGCCAGAAATTAAGGAAATGCTTGTAACACACACACATCAAAAGAGCAGAGGAGCACTGGACAAATCAAGAACAATTTGAGCATCAAAAATAAGGACAGAGAGTGAATAAATATATTAAATAAAAATTATGTGGCTGAGTGGTACATATATTTAGTCCCAGCATTCAGGCAGCAAAGACAGGTGAACCTGTGTGAATTCAAGGCCAGCCTGGTGGTGTACAAGTTCCTGGACAGCCAGGGCTATATAAAGAGACCCTATCTCAACAAATAAACAAAGTCTTTATGTTTGCGTCCCATTGCTGTGGCAAAGCACTTGGGAAAGAAATCAGCTTATAAGGAGGAAACATTAGCTTGGTTCATAGTTCAGCCCATAGTCACTTGGCCCTGTTACCTTTGTGTTTGTGGGAAGCAGAACACAGTAAGGAGGATATGGTGGAGGAAGATGCTCACCTCATGGTGGTCAGAAGAGAAAGGACCAGGTCAAGACCCCTTACTTCAAGAGCATGACACCAGTGACCTAAACTTCTGTCCACTAGGTTCTATTTTCTACTGCTTACATAAAGAGACATTCCCACACCAAGTGTGGATAAATTATATAACAGAGAAAAATCCAAGAGACAATCAAGTTAGCAAAATTAATATCAATAATAGGATACTATGTGCTTCCTAATGTTGCTCTAAGACCATAATACCACTTCTTTGATACTCCTGCCAACACATGCATAAGTTAATCTAATTGTGAGGAAAAAGATACATCAAGCTGAACAGCACTCTAAAACAAACAAGCAAAATAATCACTGGCCTTCCAAATGACATTCTTCCAAAATGCCAATGTCATGCTAGACTGAGAACTGTTCCAGACTGAAGGAAGAATAAGAGATAACTATCACACATAACTGGTTGTCCAAATGTCTTCTTCACAGCCCACCACTGGCCTCCTGAGTGCTGGGATTAAAGACATGTGCCACCATGCCTGACCTCTGAGTGGTTTTCTAATTTCAGCATTTGCTCATATCCCTTATGTTCTGGCTTCCTTTTCTTACTTTAATTATTCTTCAAAGGAATGTGCATAGAGAGAGCCAGCCCTGTTAGGCAGGTCTAACAGACACATATGCACACAGAACTCTTCTTCTCCTCACACTTGCTTCTCACTGTACATGAAACATATTTCAGAATGATCAGATATGATGCCAGACTGTCAAAAGACTCTGAAAAAACAGGTAAGAGTCAAAGTACAAAAGGGTATGTTCCAAGACTCCCAACAGATGCCTAAAACTAGAGCAGAGTACCAAACTACATAAACCTGTTTCCTCTCTTACATATATACTCTGATAAAGTTATCTTTTCATTTAAAGGAAATACTTAACACTTTCCTTTGATCTGTCCCAACTGCTAATAATCTTGTGTTAATAATCTTGTATTTGGGACCCACTATTCAGGAAAAAAAAAAGGATTCTTATGGCAACGACTGAAGGATTAGCTAAGATCACTAACACTGACTGACAGACAGATAATTCTGAAATGCAGATATTCTGGACAGAGAGATGACTCATGTCCTGGGTGAGACAGCAAGAAACTTTAAGCTACTCAGAATGGAATAATTTTTTAAGTTACATAATACTTATGCATTATTTATTTCTGAACCTTCCCATTTAATATTTTCAGACTACAGTTAACCATAGTAACAGAAACAACAGGCAGCAAAACTACAAAGAAAGGAGAACTATGGAATAAAGTTAGTAATCGAGCAATAACAAATAGAAAACTGGAAAACTATGAGGGTGGGAGAGTGGGATTGGGAGGGAATGAGGAAGGGGCTACAACTGGGATACAAAGTAAATAACCTGTGATTAATATAAAAAATAAAAATTATTAAAAAAAAAAAAGGAAACTGGAAAACTGGGCACAGAAGCTAATGCTTGCATTTCAAGAAGCAGGAACAGTGCAATAAGTTCTCGACAAGCCTGAGCTACACAGCAGTTCCAGGACTGCCTGGGTTACAAGGTATAACCTTGTCACAAAAAAGAAAAGAAAAGGGAAAAATAAAAATTAGAAAAATCAGAAAATTTCATAATTAAACAATACACTCTAACCAATGGATGAGAGAAGAAATCGTAACGGCAGCTAAGAAAAGCTTAATAGACGATGGAAACAAATACACACCTTACCAAAATGAATAGGGTGTAACAGCACAGTGTTTAGTGATAGACTTAAAGCTATAAATTTTTACACTGCAAAATGAGGAAACTCACGAATTAACAGCTTCGCCTTATGTTACAGAAGCAGAGAGAACAACCTGACTGAAAGCCAACAGATGAAAGGATGTAACACTGGCCAGATGCACCCTGAACAGAGACTAAACAAAAAACAGAACAACAATGACACCAAAAGCTGGTCCTTAAGACCAACAGAAACCTGTGATGGCATACGCCTTTAGTTACAGCACTTGGGGGTGCAGATGCAGGGGATCTTGGTGAGTTTGAGGCCAGGTCTGATCCACATAGAGAACTCCAGGACAGCCAGAATGACATGGTGAAACCCTATCTCAAAAACCCAAACACATAAATAAGCAAAGGTCAACAACAGGGAAAGCCTTTAAGATAAGAGAAAAAATAAAATAAAATGGCAAAAAAAAAAAAGCACAAATATTACCAACAATTGTATAGAAGTAAAAAGAATAACCAAGATGAAATGGACTAAGTCCTGATTAAACCACAAAAGATCATAAAATCTCCTAAGAAGCTTGACTAGTAATCAAAAATGTCCTGCTAAGAAGGTATGAACCTAATGCTTCTATATTCAATAAATGTAGATTTGGTCAGGTCAGATGAACTCAAGTTTACCAGCATACTAAAAAAAAAAAAATCATGCCAGGCATAGTGGCCCACTTAATTTCAGCACTTGGGAGACAAAGGCAGGTGGACCTTGGTGAGTTCAAAGACAGCCTGGTCTACCCAGAGTCCCAGAATAACCAGAGCTACATAAAGAAACCTTGAACAACAAAAAGAAAATCAATGACCCAAGAATCTACAAAGTCAGAAAAAGATAAATACTGCCTTATTCAATCTCTAAGAATGACTAGGAATCAACAATGACCTCACTTTTCACAGTGTTTTGAAGAGCCAGGTAAATCCCAGCTCAAGTCTCACTACCTCTGGTAACTTGCAGATGCTATAACCTGGAAAACTGGTCTGCCAGGCCCTCTCCAAACATGCATACCCATCTGAACACAGGAAACATCCTCCTCATATGGTATGTCCTCAGAGTCCCAGGCCTGCCTCACCCCCTCAGAAGTCTGGTAGAAGGCATGGGCGCACCCTTGGCTGCTCACCAGTGTTGCGGATGATGTAGTCCAGCACCACCAACCGCTCAAACTGCAGTAGGAGTTGTCGGTTAGTGTTCTCAGGGAGAGGTTCTGCTTCAAAACGCCGCAGCCAATAGTCTGCATCTTTGTAGCCTTCAACAAAGAGCTGGAATGACCCGACCTACAACCAAGAGGAAGGAACAAAATCATTTCTGTAGAGACCAAGGTAAAAAGCACAGAAGCAAGCCAAACACCCACAAAGACCCTGTGGGTCAGAGAAAAGAACGTTTCCAAGAGGATCGCGCCTTTATTTCCTTGTAAGTACAGGGAAAAGGGGATGATATTCATCCACCCAAGGTGAAGAATCCTATTCAAATGGTCTAGACTCTGGAGGAATGAAGTGAGAACTGTTAGGTCTATATTCCCTGGACTATTTCCTAACCCTGATCTCTGACAAAAGTGAGAAAGACAAAAGAACCTCATGCAGGTCATTCACATGCACAGTCCAAGTCTACAAGTACCTTGCTTCCCCTCTTGAGTAATTAGGGCACCATAAACCAACAACTTTGTTAAGTCACAGAGGTAAAATCTATACCTTTGGTGGTAGTCCAATGCGGTTAAACCGCTGCCCAACTTTTGGCACTTTCTCTAGTGCAAGTCGCTTGCCCCTGGACTTTACTCGGTCAATGGCACTGTAGTTGAAGGTTTCACTGGCAAGATATACTACCTATAGGAAAAAGAGAAAAGATACTTAGGTTAGAGTTATGTTTAAGAAAGGAGACCAAGCTGGGTACGGTTGCACATGCCTGTAATCCTAGTGCTCAGGAGGCAGAGGCAGGCAGATCTCTGAATTTGAGACCAGCCTGATCCACAGAGGGATTCCAGGACAGCCAAGGCTACACAGAGAAACCCTGTCCTGAGAAACTAAAAAAGAAGAAAGAAAAGAAAGAAAGAAAGAAAGAAAGAAAGAAAGAAAGAAAGAAAGAAAAGAGGCAGGGGAAGGAAGAAGGAAGGAAGGACGGATGGACACCACTGTGGCAGAGAACAGCAGGATGATCAGTAACACCATTCCTCTTCCAGGAAAGAGAAAGCATTCAGTCTTATGGTTCAGGGTAGTCAATATGGCTAATTTTGGATAACAGTGTTGGGGGCTACGCAGAAGGAACAGCAAAACAGCACTAGAAGTCATGAAATAATGTGGCTTATGGTTGGCAGAGCCATGGAGGACCTGAGGACTTCATGCAACGCTCTGCCTGTTGCCTTCACATCCCTCATAATCTATGAGTTGCATGTATGAAAACTCTAATCCAGCCCCTCACTGGACAGTATCACTGGCACTTAAAATAACAGTGGTTGATATTTTTCAAGCATTGCTGCTGGTGCTTAATGATTCATCCATGTGTTAGAGACGAAGATTGCTGGTAACATCCACCACCCTTAAAAACAATCTAGAGATGCAGATTGATAGTAAAGTTAGGTTAAGATGTTTTTGCTAGTGGCTTTGATGGAGAAAATCTTAGGAACAATTTGAAGTTCAGAAAGGCAGACTCTTAATATTGATCTAGGGCTTTTTCTTTGAGGCCAGGGAACAAGAATAATGGCACAAAAGCTGACATGCCTCTTTCTTGCTAAAGCTGGTGAGCAAAGTGATGGTTAATTGCTTGTACGCATTTTTGCCTTCAGCTTTCTGATATGATTTAATAAAAAACTGTTAATGAGTAGATGCACTCCTTGAGGATTTAAAGTAGAAATGATTGTTTTTATATAAAAATTTAATTTGTAATTCAAGATTTTCATAAGATCACTTTTTAAGATAAATAATTGAGCCTTTCTTTGTAACCATAAATTGCAGCCTGCCAATAAGAGACAGTGGCTGAGAAAACTACCTAGCTTGCTTCCACTATAACAAGTCACTTAGAAACAAATGTATGTGGGTTCTTGGGAATAATTTTTCACATTTGTTTTTAACCCATAATATATAAAACATATGAACATGTGGGGGTATTTGGGAACATGTCTTCTATGTACACTCACTGTAATTTTTAACTTAAAGAAAAGTAAAATGTAACCATACTGTGATTTTTATACTGCTTCAAAGATTTTGCTGGGATTGATAAACTGTGGGAGAAAAAATAAACTTGTTGGAGCTTTCTCATTGGAGTTTTGCTCTATCTACCCAATGTGTGAATGTGTATGTATATATGTATAATGGTTGGAGCTTGTTCATTGAAGCTTTGCTTCACCCACCAAATGTATGTGTGTGTGTATGTGTGAAGTTGTTGGAGCTTGTGCCATCTACTAAGTGTGTATGAGTGTGTGACTGCTTTACAATGTCACAACCCCACATTCCCTCTTTGGATTGCTGAACACACTGTCAGAGCTGGTCTTTGACATAATAGAATATTGATAAAATGGTATATATACATCACTTCTGAGAATCTCCCACAATCCTAATCTGTGAAGCTATAAAAGGGCTCTGAGATGTCAGGTCCATACCATTTAACGGTCTCATATCCCTTGTGATATGAATGACTTGGGCATGTGAATACAGGTATGTGATCTCAGCATTTAAAAGGCAAAGGCAGTGGGATCCACACAAGATTGAAGGCAGGCTGGTCTATATGGTCAGTTTCTAGTCAGAATAAACTATACAGTGAGACCTGGTCTCAAATGGGGAAGGGGAAGAAAGGAAATGGGTAAAGAGAAGGGAAAGGAAGGGGAGGGAGAAAAAGAGGGGAGGAGGGGGCAAAGAAAACAAAGAAAAAAAAAGGGCTAGTGAGATGGCACACTTGGTAAGAGCACTTGCCTCCAAAGCCTGACAACCTAAAGCTGGCTCCCAGAACCTGTAACTGTGGAAAAAGAGAACTGACTCCCACAAGTTGCCCTCTGACTTCCATATGTGAGTATTGGCATATGTACTCCCTACTACACAGAATAAATAAATGTAGAAAGGGGAAAACCTGTTTTCTTAAGGCCCTTTTTCCAGTTCCCACTCGAAAACCTGGCTTGTTCAAGCTATAAAGGCATTTTTTCCCTGCTACCAGGTTTACTTGCAACTGTTCTTCCCAGCACAGCACTCTGCCCTGTATGACTAATGAAACTGTCACTACCTCACAGGAAGCAAACAGCCAGCAAGTGAAAAGCAGAACTCTACTATTTCAAGCACCTTCACAACGTGAGCCCTGTTTCCACAGTGACAGGTGCTCTGATCAACTGGATAGAATCCTGTCACAAGAGTAGGGCAGGCAGAAGAGAAGAGATTTCTCTTATAGTCTCCAGCAACTGAACTTAAACTTGCAGAGTTCTGTCTCGCCTTAGCTTCATGGAAGATAAGTGGGGGTTTTTTGTTTGTTTTCCAAGAGACAGGGTTTCTGTCTGTTTCCAGGCTGTCCTGGAACTTTATCTGTAGACTGGCTGGCCTCAAACTCACAGAGATCCTCCTGTCTTTGCCTCTGGGATGAAAGGTATACACCAACACCACTAGCAAAGAAGTGTTTTGTATTGTTAATTCTGATGCAAGAGACCCTCAGAATTCACTATTGTTCTCTAACAAGAGAACAGTAGGGGTACCGTTTATGATGAAAACAGCGCATAAAAACACTACAAGACCCCTTATCAAGTAAATTTCTCTTTGCCACAGAGACCATTACAGAAAACCATCACTGACCAAAAGGAGAGTTGTGAAGCACAGTTCTAACTGATATGTCTATATACATGTAACTCTCAGACCCAAGGCTCAGAAAGGGGCAGAAAGACTGAGAGAGCCAGAGGAACAGGTAACTTGCTATGAGACTGTCTTCTATAAAAATGTCAGGAGCTACTTCCATGAAGTCTCATCAACATGGCTGGCTAAACATGAGCTGAATAAGACTACCACAAACAGGCATACTAACATGGAAGAGGGAAAGTACATGAGGCCTCAACCCTAGACAAAGAACAACGACAACTAAGAAATGCTGAGAGAAGAGGAAATAGCCTTTCCCAGGGAAGAACACGACAACTCGTTATCCAATACCAAATGGAGAGCCCTGAAAACAAATTAAAACTAACATCATACACACATTATACAGATGGAGGGGAGTATAGCATGTTTTACGTACTTAGAAACTCTTGTGCACACGTGTGCATGAGCACACACACACACAAATAAAAACAAATAGGTAGGTCATGATTTTGAAAGAGAACAAAGAAGGGTGTACATGGGAAGGTTTGGAGGAAAGAAAGAGAGAAATGAGAAAATTCTCAAAAGACTAAATGTAGTTTAAAAAAAAAAAAGCACAAAATGTGTAGAGTATTTACATTATTCCAGGCACGAGGCTGTGTGTTGTATATGGGTTATCTTGTATAATCTTGAAAAAAAATCACTCTACTAAATACTATTTTTATCTTTATTCTTATAGGAAGAAGGATACTAAACATACCCTAGGGGATTCACTGACTTACCCATGGGTAAGGCCTTCTGTGGTCCCAGCACTCAGGAGACTAATGCAGGAATATTACAAGTTTAAGGCCTGCCTGAGCTACAAGACTCTACCTCCAATAAGAGAAAGCTACTAAGTAGAATTCAAACTCAAGCATCAGCAGAGCAAGCCAGGAAATGGTTGTGGCTCTGTGCTATTTGCCTAGCAAAGGAAATTACAGAGCACTGAGAAGGGAGTACTTAAAAGGGCTTCTAGAATCTAGGAGGATTTCAGGTCAGCGACTAGACTCTGAAGCAATAGTTATCTTAGAAGATGTTCTTAAGAACACTCATGTCAATAAATTCCCTAAAGTCAGATGAAATCAAGTATGTATTCAAGCAGTGTTTTAAAGGATGGACAGAAGTATAGTCAGAATCTCAACCAAGTCATAACACATACAAGGGATTTTGTAAATCAACTCTATTTGTAAATTTGCCCCAGAATGGTCCTTTCCTTCTCCTTCCTCCTCTTCCCTTCCATTCTCCCTTTTCCTTCCTTCCCTGTAGTCCTGGGCCTTGAACCTGGCCCTTGCATATGCTAAGTAAGTGTTCTAACACTGAGCTACACAACCAAGCCAGGATCTCTAGTCTGATATGCTCAGACAAGTCCCAGGGTTCCACAGGGTGAAGTGAAGGTAGGTGAAGAAAATTCCATATCACTCCTTTGCAGAGTTGAGACAGACATTTTACTCACCCTCAGCCCACGCAAATTCTTTACCAACCTTTGCATAAGGTTTAACTGACATCAGCTAATCTGTATCTAAGGGCGGGCATGGTGGTACACTCTATAGACTCAGGTACTTGCCAGGTTGAAAGAGGCGGAGTACTAGCAGATACTGTATTTACACCTCATTTGGGCAACATGGCGCAACCTTCTTGGTCTCTTAAAAAGAACAGAGGGGCTACAGAGAGGCATGATTTAGTGGCTAAGAGCACTTGCTGCTCTTGCAGGAGTGGAGTTCAGTTTCTAGCACCCAAATGAGGAGACTCACAACTACCTGCACCTCCAGCTTCAAAGGATCCATTGCCTTCTTCCAGCCTTCATTGGCACCTACATACATGAGCACATACACACATGCATAACTTTTTTTCATTAAAAAAAGAGAGCCAGGCATGGTGGTGCATGCCCTTAATCCCAGCACTTGGGAGGCAGAGGTAGGCATATCTCTGTGAGTCTGAGGACAGCCTGGTCTACTGAGAAAGTTCCAGGACAGCCAGAGCTACACAGAGAAACCCTGTCTCAAAAACCAAAAGGAGGAGGAGGAAGAGAAAAGAGGGAAGGAAGATAAAGAAACTGTGTACCTAAATCTTGATCCAGAAGTCTTGAGAATGAGCGGTAAAAGCACCTAGGTTTAAAACCAGCTTGCGACTACCTGGGATACAAAGACCAAGGAAGTCCATAAATGTATATGAGGCACTTGTGAGTATCCTAAGATTGTATATAGAATCTGTGTCCTTCTGAAAGCAGGTTTTAACAGATAAATTGTAAGCCCATTCCTACCACCCACCCACAAAAGACTCAGTATCTCAGGTTAACTAGGACCTCCCTGGACCCTCTGCTTTACTAAGAGAGCTCAGGAACCAGTACTAAGTCTTCCCAGAAATGGGTCACTGACCTTTGTACGGGGTACAATGTTGAGCTCCAGTTTCTGGTCCACCAGGCTAGCCCCTGCCTCTGAGAGATAGCCCTGGTTGAGGACAAGGCAGTCACGGCCGAAGCAGCATGGACAACACAACTTCTGTAGCCATTTGGTCCATTTAGGATTAAGGTGCCCATATGGCTCTTCATTCTTGGGTTTGAAGACAGCAACAATCTTCTACATAGACAAAAGAGAGGATAGGTTAGGTGATTTATAAGTCTGGGAGTAGCTCAGTAGCATTTATGAGGCCCTTAATTCAGTTGAAACAGGATGCTAAAAAGACCTACAGCCAAAGATACCAAGACTCCTTATTCTTCACTTCTTTGTTTTCCCCATCTCTCGTCTCTGTTGTACCGCTGTGCTTCAAAGTAAACGAGTTTGTATACTTCCAGAAGACAGACCCAGAAGCCAGCTTGGTAAGACATCTTTTTTTTGTGGGGGAGGGGGGACACATGTTTTGAGATAGGGTTTCTCTATGTAGCCTTGGCAGTCCTAGAACTCGCTCTGTAGACCAGGCTGGCCACAAACTCATAGAAATCCATTTATCTGTCTCTGTTTCCCAGAGACAAGTGCCTGGCTAGGAGGTGTGTAGGGGTGGGGTGGTACCAGGTGGGGAGGTGGGAGAAGTGTTGGGTGAAGTGGGGGGGGGGGGGGAACAGTCTAATAACAAAACAGAGAAGAAATAAAAATCACAGCAGGAAAAAGAATGCTACATGGTTAGGGTTGGGGTTCTCTTAAAAAATTCTGAGCCGGGTGTGGTGATGCATTCCTTTAATCCCAGTACTGGAGGAGGCAGAGACAGGCAGAGGCCAGAGTGGTCTACAAAGCAAGTCCAGGACAACCAAGGCAACACAGAGAAACCCTGTCTCAGAAAAACCAAAAGAAAAAAAAAATTCTGATAGGCAAAGGTTCAGGAGAAGAAAACCCGTATTTCATTTTCTCTAGCCTATACCTTAATTGTTTCTCTAGTTTTGTTTGTTTGTGGTGACAGGGTCTTATTGTTTATCCCTGGCTGGCTTAGAACTCAGCTGTGTAGACCCTCTGACCTCAAACTCAAGAGATCTACCTCCTGAATGCTGGGATTAAAGGTGTGTTCTGTAATGCCTAGACTCAGAATGTTTCCTTCCACAGAACCCTAGTCCCTCTGGACTTGTTTTACATTTATCTCATTCCTTCCAGTCTCCTAACTTGTAATTCAAAGAAAGAAGAGCAGGTATGCTAACATAGTAATTCACCCCTTTTTTTTTTTTTTTTTTTTTTTCTGAGACAGGGTTTCTCTGTGTAGCCTTGGCCATTCTGGACTTGGTTTGAGGCTGGCCAAGATCACAGAGATCTGTCTGTCTCTGTCTCCAAGTGCTGGGATTACAGGTGGGCACTACCGTGCCCAGCTCTCCAAGTGATTCATGTTACGACTCTTCTCATTCTTCCCTTAGTTCACAGCCAAAACAAGGTTTTCTGGGTCATAAAGTATTGTTTTGTATCACTTCCCGAGTTAGGTCACAGCAGACAACACGTACCCATCTGCCTCCCTTAAGTGAGTACTACTGAACTGACTCATCCCACTGCTAATAATCAGTTAAATCTTGAGGTCAGATCCTTCAAAAACTTCTTGCAAGGATTTGAAAAGGCCAGAGAAACCCAGAATTCTCTTTTCCTTTTCAAAAAGAATCAATTTATTCTTGAGGTCAAATTTATTTACTGGTAAAAGTAAAATATAAACTGTATACTTTTTATTTAAAGACACGGCCTTACTATGTAGCCCTGCCTGGCCTGACTTGTTAGCTAGACCAGGCTAGTTGAACTTAGAAATCTGCCTGTCCCTTCCTCCCCAGTGCTGGCAGTAATTAATTCTGCCACATAATTTCTTGCTTATCCAAAGTGACTAGTAAAAAGCCTTGGCATGCAGCAGCCTCTGTGCTCATCTGGAGCCCAGTCTCTAAAATCCAGATAAGTGGCCAGTCTCTCAGCTGAGAGCAGGACGGCTGAGACCACTGCAGCACGCAGCCTCCAGTGAAAGACAGACGAAGGCATTCCAGATACCAGTGAGGGTTGAAAAGTATCAAGAATAAATTAAATTCTTCCACTTAAAGAAAGCAGAACTTGAAGGCCAAATTGCACACAACTGTCATTTATATACTGACCTCCAGGCTTCTCAATTTCCTCCCACCATGAGGAAAGCATTAATTGGCTCTTCAAATAAATTTAAAAAAACATAGTTATCTCAGTCACACAAAATTACTGTCTTGATTATTGAGGGAATGAAAGGGGAGGGAGATTGAAGAACTAGAAGGATCTTCAGAGAGAGGGAGACACATGGCTTTTAGGACTAAGAATAGACCTCAGTGCAACTCAGCTCTGCTAAAAGTTGATCAGGGCCTAGTTTGTCTAAGCATGTGGTAGGTTTCCTCGACAGAAATTAGGCCTTTGTCCTAATTTTCAAAACCATGTTGAGTGCATATGCTCTGACAAATCAAGAATACTCTCCTCTTCACAGAGTATCTAAAACCACTCAAAAAAAAAAAAAAAAAAAAAAAAAAAAAAAAAAACACAAAACAAAACAAAACCTACCAGTATTCAGCCAGAAAAGAAAATGACTGATTTTCCTCATCATTCTCTCTTTCTAGATAGTCAATTCTTGTTACACCCAGAAGACTGTATCTGTTTAGCAGTGATTTTTAAAGCATCTTTCCTTAACACCCACTTACTACTCTCCCTGTTTAACATAGAATAATGTAAGATACCTAAGGTCATAGTAGTCCATGAATAAAAACAGAACTGTACCAGGAACCAAGAGCCTTCTCAAAGCTGGTGTCAGAACCCACAATCAATTACTGGAACCTAAGTTCCTATTGCTAACCAGCACTGACTAGCATAAGGGTATAATAAAGAGACCCCTGAAAAGACCAAATGTGATATATTTGCAGCACAGTTACCCACCAGAAAGACTAAAGATCTGCTGGAGCCCAGAGGTACAAGGCCAGCCTGGGAAACAATGCTGGAACCCCCTCTCTCAATAATCAAAACCATCCAGGTGTGGTGGTGCATGCCTGTAACCTAGCAGGAAGATGACAAACAAGGCCAGCCTGGGCTACAGAGTAAAAAGAAAAAAGAAAACGAAGGAAGTACCTCTTTTTTTCCAAGAACTTTTAAAACTTTAGTTCAAGTAAATCACTCATGCACAATGATATATACAGAGGTGACTTTTAAAAGTCTGGTTGTTTGGGCTGGAGAGATGGCTCAGAGGTTAAGAGCATTGGCTGCTCTTCCAAAGATCCTGAGTTCACTTCCCAGCAACCACATGGTGGCTCACAACCATCTACAGTGAGAGCTGGTGCTCTCTTCTGGTGCGCACGCAGATGCTGTATAAATAATAAATAAATGATATTTGTTTTAAAAAAAAGTCTGGTTGCTCTATCTTTTACTTGGTTGTTTTATCTCTCATGTTTAGGGGATAGAGTGCTCAAGCAAGTTAAAAGTGCTTGCCATCAAGTCTGATGCCCTGGATTCAAATCTCAGAATCTACAATGCTGAAGCAGACAACTGACTTCACAAGTTGTCTTCTGACCTCTAACCGCATGCTGTGCATATGTGTGCAAACACTCAAAATAAATTTTATGTTTGGTACACATAAATGGAAGGTTCTCACACTTTTTCATCTCAAGATTTCCTTCACGACAGTCATGGTAGCATAGTACTAGGATTCTCTTAAACTGTTAAAAATTATTAAGATCTCCAATGCCTTTAATTCCAGCACTCAGGAGGCAGAAGCAGGCAGATTTCTGTGAGTTTGAGGCCAGCCTGGTCTACAAATGGAGTCCAGGACAGCAAGGGCAGAAAAACCCTGTTTCAAAACACCAAACCAAACCAAACCAAAAAAAAAAAAAAAGAAAGAAAGAAAGAAAAAAAAAAAGCTTCCCCAAAGAGAGGGAATCAGTCTTCTTAATGTGTGATCCCTGGTAGGTCACTCCAGAGAAGGGCCCGCTTCCAAGAATAGAAGGCAGCACAGATTAGACTAAAATAATTCAGAAGAAAACTCCAAGGGAGATCAGTGTGGAGGGGGTAGACCTAGGAGGAAGTGGGGGATGTGAATAAGATCAAGATACACTATGAAATTCTTTTTTTCTTTTTAGTTTTTCAAGATAGGGTTTCTCTGTGTAGCCTTGGCTGTTCTGGACTCGCTTTGTAGAGCAGGCTGGCCTTGAACTCACAGAGATCTGCCTATCTCTGCCTCCCTGCATGCTAGGATTACAGGCGTGTGTCAACGAGGCCAGCTCTCTGTGAAATTCTTAAAGTATTAATTAAAAAATCATTTTGAAAAGATTCTGGGCTGAAGAGATGGCTCAGTGGCTACGAACACTTGTTACTCTTGCAAAAGACCCAGGTTCATTTTCCAGCACAAAAAGGGTGGTTCACAATCATCTGTAATTCCAGTTTCTAAGTATCTGACCCTGCCTTCTGACCACTGCAGACAATAAAATAAGATTCCCCAAAAGCTTTCTTTTCTTTTTTCCAGTTGATTTACTTTACATCCAAAGGTAACCCGTTCCCTCCTCTCCTCCCAGTCTCTCCCCTTCTCCTCATCTCTGTTCCCCTCTTTCTTCCCCCCCCCCCAAAAGGGGAGAGCCCTCCCCCATATCAACTTGACCAGTACATCAAGTCATATCAGGACTAGACTGAGCATATATCTTTATTCCCTGAGGCCAGGCAACCCAGCCCTGCCACGGGGAAATGATCCAAAAGCAGGCAATAGAGTCCATGTTAGAAACAGACGCCCCCTTCACTAGCCAGGTGCCCCATATGAAGACCAAGCCACCCAGAGGCTATATGTGTGCAGGGAGCCTAGGTCCAGATCACGCATGCTCCTTAGTTGGTGTCTCAGTCTCTGAAAACCCCCATGGGACTGGGTTAGCTGTCTCTGTTGGTCTTCTTGTGACGTTCCTGTCCCCTGCAGGTTCTTCCATCTTTCCCCCAACACTTCCACAGGACCCCCAGAGCTCCACCCCATGCTTGGCTGCAAGACCCAGCATCTGTTCAGATCAACTGCTGGCTGGAGCCTCCCAGATGACAGTCAAGTTAGGCTCCTGTAAAAGCTTTCATTTTTGTGGGTAAAAGCTATACTTGCTGTATTTGAATTAAAGCTGAAAGGCTGAAACTATTCATTTAATAAAAACAAACAC